AACATATATGTTAAAGCTTGGCTTAAAGGCTATGTGAGACCGAGCCAATGCTTCAGTTAGGTGGGAATTGTACTGATGCTATTGGACACTGGGTTCCCTTTTAATGATCTACCTGATGGCTATCTGAGGACGAGTAGATCACTCAGCAGTTTTTGGGAATTACATCGATGCTATTGACACCAGGTTCTCTCAGTTAACTAGTGTTTGATGGCTATGTGAGACCAGATACTAGTTAGGGTACATTCAGATAATGCACAGTATGGCCAGGTTTGCATTCAGATAATGCATAGGAGTATCAGTGTCGCATATAGATAATGTATACCAGTTATAGTTATTAGGGTTAGAGACCCTTTCGTGGTGTACTCGTGGCAAAGACCTTAGTAGAGGACTAAGGGAAGCGTGAGACTCCTACTTCAGTGTTAGAATAACAAAGGCTTAAGTAGGTAGCACTTGATCTAGATCATGCATGTACCTACTACTCAGTGATATGTCTTTAGCATGCTTGTGTTTATGAAATTCTTATGCTGGTTTAGATTAGAGATTATATTGTTGGGCTTTGTAAGCTCAGCCTTCGGATGTTCTCCATTGGGAGGTTAGTAGCTTGAGTAGTTCGTGGAGCACCGTCACGGTAGGATTTCTAGCATCTCCTTCAGAGTATTGTATTGTAGTTTTAGTGGGCATATGTATTCATAGAACCTTACTCATTTATTCAGTTTATTAAACTTAAAGTCTGTATTATTTTGGGTTTTAAATTATGTGTCACGGAGCTCCGGTTTTGTAAAATGTTTTATATAAGTTATTTATGTTTTATTTATGAACCATTCGGTGTGTTTAAAAGGTAAATGAATAGGTTTTGAAAATCAGGGTTGCCTCGCTAACCCAATATAATATTTTAGGTCTAATCGGGTTTAGGGTGTTACAAGTGATCACTAAACTAAAGCCCTTTTTTCCATTTTACCACTAACGTTTCTATTCTATCAATCAGACCATAAAACTATTTAAATACTTCAATCAAGCAACTAACTGTTAATTTTTTAACGGAGGTGATGAGGTGGCAATTAATAAAATTGACATAATTATATATTTTGTCCTTACTATTTACACATTTTATCAATTTGGTCACTATTTTTTATTCAATTAATTAAATTAACAACCCAATCCAAAGGTGCGACATATCACTATATGATATAAGGGTTAATTTAATTAATTTAATATTTTAATTAAATAAAATTTTCCACCAATTAAGTGGCGACACATTTAACCACATGTGTAAAGGGAAAACATATTGGAATAGGAGAGAGAGCTTGGGGTGATTCAAACCAGAGACTCCATAGGAGTCAGGGCAAGCCTTTTCCACTAGGTCAAGCCATCTATTTGGTTTAAAGTGCACAATCTTTTATATATTGTGTTTGAGCTTATTTCACACACATATATTAAATAATTAAAACAAATCTAATAAATAAATTATATTCACATATAGATTAAATTAAAGTTAATGTAAGACTTAAAAATAAAAATGAGTTTAATATTTTATCTTTAAATTAAATTATTTTTTATTTTGTGATTTGGATTCTCTAAATAATTTTAATATAATTTTATTTTTAATATAATTTTATTTTTAATATAATTTATATATTATTATTTAAAAAATAATTGTAAAAAATAAAATAAATAAAAATATTAAATTCATTTTTATTTTGAGATTTGGATTCTCTAAATAATCTTTAATATAATTTATATATTATTATTTCAAAATAATTGTAAAAAATAATTTAAATAAAAATATGAAACTCATTTTTATTTTTAAGTCTTACATTAACTATCATTTAATATATATATATATATATATATATGTGTGTGTGTGTGTGTGTGTGTGTGTGTGTGTGTGTGTGTGTGTGTGTGTGTGTGTGTGTGTGTGTGTGTGTAAAATAATCTCAAACACAATATATAAAATATTGTGCACTTTAAAACCAAATAGATGGCTTGGCCCGGTGGAAAAGGCTTACCCAATATATTAAAAATAATTAAGTTAACCCTCCAATCATATAGTGACGCATTACCTTTGGATAAAAGAGTTAAATTTATTTAATTGAATTAAAATAGTGATTAAATTGATAGAATGTGTAAATATTAAGGACCAAATATATATTTATGCCAATTTTATTAACTGACACATCACCACTACTGTTAAAAATTAACAGCCAGTGGCTTGATTGAGCATTTAAATAGTTGAGTGGTCTGATTGATCGAATCGAAACGTTAGTGGCCAAAATGAAAAAAAGGCTATGGTTTAGTGGTCACCTGTGTAATTTTTTCTTTTTTTAACGGCCATGACGAATCAAATATATGAAGTAATAACGTCGAAAATGTGAGATATTTACTTCGACAAAAAGACACTTTAGACACTTAAAATGTATAAGATATGTAGTTTAAGTATTTATTTTTTTAACTAAGCCAAAAAGTAACTAGACCGATGAAGTTTTGAAATTTGGGTCAAGATGGAGACGAATATTGAGTAGGCTTAATCTCTTGGCCGTTCAACAAATAGGAGGAGGTGAGACAATTTATAAAATTTGAAGATCACATGTAAAATATTCCCCCACGACCTTCACATTGCAATGTGGAGAGTAAGGGTGTGCAAAAAGATTTAATCTGATCGATTCCATCAGTTGATCCGATGATTTGATCTGAAAATTTAGATATTTGATCCATTTTTTGATTTTTGGATAATTCAGATCGGATAACCAAAAATAATTCGGATAATCGGATCGAATACAGGTAAGAAAAATTCCACTTATCTGAAATCCGAAAAAATTGGCCCTTTAAATTTTAGATACATTTAGCTAATAAATGAGTAACCCACTAACCTATTAAAGTTCTAACTCAATAAAAATTAGAATATTTAATTATTTATTGTGTATAGTAATTATATATATATATATATAGAAGTATCTAATATATAACATTAAATCACAAAATTTAAATTTTAAAATTATTTTTTTGTTAAATTAAATTTTATATTCAAATTCGGATATTTATGTATTCTGTTTTTTTAGATTGAATATGAATTACTATTTTATGTATTCAAAATTTTTAAATATTTAAATTTTTAAATCGAATCGATATCTGATTTTGCACGCCCTAGTGGAGAGAGATGGTTCACATCACATGCCAACCTTGTCGACACAATGTTCCAAAATAATATCAAGTGTCCCATCATCTAAAGGACAAGGTTAGTGCATTGAGTTGGGACCCTTCATTTGCTTTTTTAAACACCGGAAAACTTTTGTTGGAATGATGTGTTTTAAAGGCCAAAATTATGTAAACAAATTATACATGTGAAGGTTGGTTAAATTCTAGAAGTTGTTTATAAATAAAATAATATTGGATTTCATTAGAAAAATTTAATTATTGTTTTAAAAAAAATTAAGGTATAGTCAATTAGATTGTGTGGTTTGTATTTCAAATTTAAGTCATGTTTGAATTTATAAAGTTTGAATAATCAAATACTGAAAAATTAAAACAATGTTATTTTGATTTTTGGTTAGTTAATTTCATTTTTTATAGTTTGATCCATAATTTCTTCAGTTTCTTCAATTTTTCATTCGTTTTAAGTTAATTTTGATTAAATTTAAATTACATGCTCTTCAAGTATTGTACAATAACTATATAACTTCAATTTCTCTTTTTTGATAATATTTTTTCTTATGTTTTATTTAGTCTCTCAACTTTATATTTTATTCAATTTAGTCCTCCCACTAAAACTTTTTTCTAATTATTTCTTCCTACTAATTCCTTGACTCATTTATACCTAAAGTCGAAGTCTTTATACTCCGAGAAAAGGCTGAAAGAAGGGTTTCCTCTCAAACACTTTCACCCTCTACTTAGAGCAATCTTCTCTCCCTTGCCATCTTTCTACTTTTATCTTTAGATCATCGATTAACGACATCTTTATAGATTAAAGATATTGTTAAAAAGATATTGTTAATCGATGATTAACTGTGGAAGAGACATTTATTTCATCAATAAAATAAAATTTTAAGATTAGAGTTTTATATAATGTATATATTACAAATTGATAACGATTAATGAATTGTTTTAATATAATATCATGTATTCTTCGTTTTCTGCAAACATGTCTATCTTAGAAATACGAGGATAATGGTTCAATGGTTAATGGTTAAAGGGGTGAAGAAGTTACAAGAATGTTTTGTTCCCTATAGAATTAAAGAAAGATAGCGATGACCTATGAAGCACAAGAACGGCAAAGAAATCTCGTTTCAGTTACCTAATATGTCTTCGTCACGGGAATAGTTGAGGTATGTATCAGAGACGTGTCACGGTGATAGGTTACAGTTGAATGAGATTGGAGACGTTTAATACTTACCTGAGAACGTGTCGGGGACTATCGCAATGCTGCGAATGGTAGTGCCGCAACGAACGACGGTCGAACGATATCTAGGTTTCGTGAAAAGAAAGAAATAAAAGAAATAAAAGGGAGAAGAGAAGCGGTCGCGGGGAGAGAGGAGTTAGAATAGGATTTAAAGAAATTTGGTATAATTTCGATCCCTAATCTTTCAAAGTCTTTTGAATCTGAAAACAAGTTTTGATACATTTTCAAATTTGCCACCAAAATTAATTTAGGGATTTGAAAAAAATTCTCAAATGTTAGGATTTCTAGTTAGGGTTAAATTAGAGTGTTATACCAATTTTCTATGAATGGTTGACTTTATTTATGAATTTTTACATCTATTTATAATTTTAAAACTTTTTATATGTAGTACCCTGTAATTTTAGAAATTATCATTTCCCGTTTCAATCCCCGCCCCGTATTCGTATTTGTCCTCGTATCTGTATCAACGCAACCTAGGCGACCACGATCAACCAGCAACACAATTTCACAATCGGAGCAAGAACAAAAAAAAAAGAAATTAACAAAGTCGAAAACATACATATATAGATTGCAAAAGGAAAAAATTTGTAATTAAAAAGGAGGACGATCAAGAGCTGCGGACCACAACGCCCTGCATCATGTGCTTGAACTCGAAGAAATCGACACGCCCATCATGGTTTTGGTCAACGGAACAGATCATCTGCTCAACTCTACCGATATCTTTTCCTTCCGGCAATCCCAGTTTCCACAACACCGCCTGCAATTCTTTCGCCGAAATAAACCCGTCACCGTCCTCGTCGAACACCTTGAACGCCTCCGTCAAATCCGACTCGTCTTCCTCCTCCTCCTTGTCTAACCCGAAGAAAGTCTCGTCCAACGACCGATGCAAAGCGACGAACCCATCGTAGGTGAAGATACTCATTTTTTTCATTTAAATATTATTTATATTATTATTATTATTATTATAATAATTATTATTATAATTAATATTATTAATATTATTATTTATTATTATAATAATAATTATTAATATTATTATTTATTATTAATATTATTATTAAATATTATTACAAGCCCAAATCCAACAGTAACCGGCCCAAATCCAGAAGCCCACAGGAAACCCTAAACCCAATTTAGGGTTTGTATCATCTCTTGCCCCAGCCGCCAGCATCAAAGCCGTTGGATCTAGTTTTGATCCAACGGCCCAGATGGTCCCAACAAGGAAACCCTAGGGTATCATAACCCTAGGGACACGTCCCAGCCGCCATTGCCTCTAGTGCCACGCCACCTCGGCGTTGAAGCCTCCAGAAGCTCTGCTGCCATGATGAAAGCCACACACGTTGAAGCCCTATAGTGAGTCACCACCATAGCTATGGTGACTCACTGAAGCTTCCCTCTTTGGACTGGTCTGATCCGAGCACTGTGGTGGCTATAAAAAGCCACCACCAAACCTGAAAAAAGGGGATGAGGAGAAAGAATCGGAGATAACCAAAACAGAGGGGCAACCAACACACAAACAGAAAGCTACGGCAAGAACAGTGAACCAAACAGAGAGCAGAATACGAGAACAAATCGACACCCAATAATCAGAAAGAAGAGGAAAATGAGCATCTTACCATCATAAAAGCCTCCAAACCGTTTGGAACCACCGGAATCATTGTAAAACCGAAGGTAAAACCTTCGATTTATTTTAGATCTAGAACGATCTAAAGCGTTTTAGGACAAGCGAAGGCCATATTCGGCCTTAGGAGGTTGAGATCTACACTCTAGGGTAATTTGGGAATTCTGGCCACCGTTAGTGGCGGCCGACGGTGGTAATCGGCGCCGTTGGTGGTGGCCGGTCGGCGATAGAAAACTAGAGAGAGGCGAGAGAGTCTTTCTTCTCTCTCAGCTAGAGAGAGAAGAGGAAAGATGAAAGTGAGAAGCTGGCCCTTAAGGGCCGGCATTAAGGGATTTTTAAACCCTTCCCCAAACGACGCCGTTTTGGGGAAGGGGTATATCTGTAATTTCTCGCGTGGGTAAACTATACTCGCTGCCACCACAGTTTTGTAACTTTTCATTTTGGTCACTGAAATCAAATCTTGAACCTAGAAACTTGCATATAATAAACCCTTGAAATTCTCCTAATCTAAGACAATACTAAAACCGTTTCCATAGGTATACACAAAGGAGAAATAAGTTTTAGTTTTTAATTTATTATTTTTTTCTGAATAAATGCCTGCGAACTAAAAATCATGCGATTAGGTTATTTTTTACTAACAAAACATGGAACTAGAAAGCATGAGGTTAAGATTTATACCTTGATAGATACATTTTTTTTATTAGTTGGTACTAACTATTTTATTTTTTTCTCATTTCTTTTGCTTGCATTGCATGATCATAGCATAACCAAAAAGGTGTTTACTTGAAAGACTGTTCATCATATTGGAAAGAAATCGTAAATGGACAAAAAGTTCTATGATCAAACAAAATATGATGCGGCCAAGAAAAGACATCCTGAGGAAACTCCGAGGATAGAAGAGAGCTATCCACCTAGAGATCATGTGTCCATTAAGGAGCAAGAGGAGATACGAGAAATAAGAGAGCAGATGTCCAAGATGATGGATAGAATATCTGTTTAAACGCTTTAGATCGTTCTAGATCTAAAATAAATTGAAGGTTTTACCTTCGGTTTTACAATGATTCCGGTGGTTCCAAACGGTTTGGAGGCTTTTATGATGGTAAGATGCTCCTTTTCCTCTTCTTTCTGATTATTGGGTGTCAATTTGTTCTCGTATTCTGCTCTCTGTTTGGTTCACTGTTCTTGCCGTGGCTTTCTGTTTGTGTGTTGGTTGCCCCTCTGTTTTGGTTATCTCCGATTCTTTCTCCTCGTCCCCTTTTTTCAGGTTTGGTAGTGGCTTTTTATAGCCACCACAGTGCTCGGATCAGACCAGTCCAAAGAGGGAAGCTTCGGTGAGTCACCATAGCTATGGTGGTGACTCACTATAGGGCTTCAACGTGTGTGGCTTTCATCATGGCAGCAGAGCTTCTGGAGGCTTCAACGGCGAGGTGGCGTGGCACTAGAGGCAACGGCGGCTGGGACGTGTCCCTAGGGTTATGATACCCTAGGGTTTCCTTGTTGGGACCATCTGGGCCGTTGGATCAAAACTAGATCCAACGGCTTTGATGCTGGCGGCTGGGGCAAGAGATGATACAAACCCTCAATTGGGTTTAAGGTTTTCTATGGGCTTCTGGATTTGGGTCGGTTACTGTTGGATTTGGGCTTGTAATAATATTTAATAATAATATTAATAATAAATAATAATATTAATAATAATAATTATAATAATAATAATAATATAAATTATATTTAAATGAAAAAAATGAGTATCTTCAGCAGCCCCTCTTTGCTTTTTCTTGTGTTAATAAGAATAGAGCAAAGACGAAAATATAATAAGTTTTTTCATTTGACTTCACTTGATTAATATGGAAATGTTGAATAAATTCTTCTCTTTCTTCAGATGAGTTCTTCTCATTATGAACTTTCCGCTGGGGATGATGTTGACCTATTTCCTTCTGTGATAGAGTCATTCAAAAGGTTGAATAAGCTCTTCTTATTATGAACTTCTTCTTTCTTCTTCAGATGAGTTCTTCTCATTATGAACTTTCTCTGGAAAGGTTGATGCTAATCTATATGCTTCTGTGATAGAATTATACAAAAGGTTGAACAAGCTCGTTTACTCTCCTCATCAGAATCAGAATTCATGATTTCCTCGATATCAGAAGAACTATCAATATCTGTGAAATCATCCTGAAAGATCGCTTCATAATCAGATGAGTTGTTATCAGAATCAACATGTTGCATGGGTGCGGATTTTTTGATGAGCCTGTACCACTGTATATGTAATCTTTCCATTGCATCAGATTACTATTCGCATAAATTGGTTTCTCTCCCACAGAAAAGTATATTTCAGAGATGACCTTCACTGAAAGATGATAAGCCACTGTGTCAACCTGGAATGAATGATTGAATACTTTTTAAGTTTATGACAACATAAAGAGAATTTCTCCAGTTACTTGACAACATTGCTGTTCAGTAACACCAGAATGAGGATATTCAAGATAAACAGATTTGGGGCATGAATAAAGCCACAAGTACAACAGTGTATTGTCAAAATTAGACCTCGTGGGGATCATGATATTCAAGTTAAACAGACATTGAGAGTCAACCAGAAGCAGAATATTGGGGCATATCGAAAGCCCATTTCAGACAGAAATGTTTCATGTGGGACATCTTGAGGACCCATTTCAACCAGAAATAGAATATTGGGGCATTTTGAAGGCTCATAACAGTATGAATATTTGGGCATTTTTTAATGTTGAGCACACTTTTAACATCTGTATCAGCAAATGTTGGGGCATTTTAAAGGTTCCTTCAGACAGATCCATGTGGGGCATTTTGAAGGCTCAGATTAACAAGAAAGAAATATTGGGGCATGCTGAAAACCCTTTACAATCAGAATCAGGAATGTTGATGTATCCTAAATATGTATATCAGTAAAATGCTGGGACATGCTGAAGGCCCATATCATCATGTGTTAAAGATCATTGATTTGAGAAAATATTTCCAATAAGATAGAAAGATATGAAGAATGAAAATGGTGAAACAGTAACAGTCGAGCTAACCATACATAATTGCTTCGTTCATCAGGCAGTTGTATTAGGGTCCTGTTGTTGAACAAAATATCTATTCAGCAAGTATGGTTTCAAATACCCAATATTCTTAAACCATGTGTCACATGAAAGTGTGTTCTTTGTTAAGCTACATCATGGTTGCATGAATAAAGATGGTCCCTTTGTAGACCATTCGATCCAAAGATCATTTCCTCGAGACCTTGAAATCTGAATTTGGCCTTTTGTATGTTGGTGATAATTGAAAAATATTTCTTTGAGATTTTTGTCAGTTAGTTTCAACCATACTGTTGAGGTTACGAAGTTGTTTTTCACATCAGTTTTGTTTACTTGATGACATTGAAGAAAGAAGCTCATGCATGTATATTGCTCTTTCCCGATGTTACTGGGGTTATCATTGCCAGCCATGGTGAATTGAGTTTTCATCTATTTTGGTTTTATCATGGGTGTTTCATCCCCAGCGAAGAAAACGTAATCAATATCACACTTTCCCTTGCCCGAGATGATATCGAGATCAGTTGGTATCTTTTATTCAACTCGACACTAGCATATTGTGAATTTGACCAACTTTTTGGTCATACTAACATCACACTTGAATCTCCACTGAGTTTTGCTCTCAAATGGTCTTGTGACATCATTCAAAAGCTTTGAACACTAGGCAAAGAGCTTCAATGATTAAGAAATCTTGGCAGAAACCACAGAAAAGGATGAATGTGTTGTCAACGCTTACGAACGTCTAAGCAGAAACCACAAGAAAGGATGAATGTGTTGTCAAATGTTTTACGAACATCTGAGCAGAAGCCACAGAAAAATATGAATGTGTTGTCAAGTGTTTTACATCTCGACAGATAACACAGGAAAAGATGAATGTATTGTCAAATGTTTTACGAATCTGCTATTCTGATGTTGAACCAATGTTACGATCATATGATTTCCATTTTTGATCCAAGATGAAGTTTGTCTTCTTCAACTTCAAGATTATAAGATGAGATATGATGAAGATTTCTTTCCACAAAAAGAGAGCTAAAATTTTAACCACAAGAAACTAGTTGAACGATAGGTTGTGGTTAAGCATCTCGACATGATATGGTCCAAGTTGTTGTATTCAAGATTGAATTAAATGTGGAGACATGAAAGGAATTGAGATAAATTCTCCTTATGATGTGTTTCAAGAGTCAAATCAGAACAGACTCTACTCTCCTAATTAATCTCTGATGAATCAGGCATATCTACATCTACACTCTTCAAAGA